GAATTTGTGATAGGGCTCAAACTTAGAGATTGTAGTAACCACCCTCCTCTTGTTCCAGTGGGTCTGTGTGAAAAGTCATGTAATGATATCTGCATTTTGAGTTTGGGGAGAAATGCAATATTTTAAATAATGGGATTATTGTATATAGTACAAGTGAATATTCACAAACTTGTAAGAATATAATTCAGCATATCAGGTTTTGAGCATACATTGTATATCTAAAGAAGACAACTCTTTAATTCTTTAAGATGATTTTTAAATTACATTTTTGTTAGCTTCAGGTTTTATTCAGTTTTAAATATTATTTCCCACCCATTATGTTACTTTTTTGTGTTCCTGGAATGATTTAGTGCACAGAATCAAAAATGAGTCTTTAATACAGTAAAAAGTGAAGGAATGATATTTCAAAGGTAAGAATTTTAAAGCATGGCCTATAGCACTCCTGCAGTACATTGCGTTACTTTCTTTAAAATAATCTCTTTTGTTAAAAATAGAGATGGTGTACTTATATTAGCTGAGATCCTAATTCTGATTCCTGACCATCTGGCCTTTGATAAAATTTGTATCTCCCTTTTAATATTCCACTAGTAAATTAAGGCTAGCTTAATATTTGTCTTCACCTTTAATTACCAGAAATAATTTGTATCTATGATACAGTAAATGCTAGACCGGGAAGTCCTTATTAGGCTACTTTTTCTGTTTGTTAATGTATTCACTTATATTGAGGTTGTTTACCTTTTAGTTCTTTGAAAGTATATCTCTTTCAGAGGTAACATAATGAATGGTGCATACCATTCAAGAATCTTCCCTCCAGTTTTAAAACACCTCTGAGAATGTAGTTCCAGCCTTGGAAGAGGGTCTGGTTCTACTCTCTCAGTAGCATTGGTCAGGAGGTTCATTTAGTTTAGAATTCCACTCTAAGTCCAAACCTTTAGTGAAATCTTGCCGTTACTCACAAATCAATTAAAATGTAAGCAAGCTAGTACTCTTCCATCCTACCACAATACAGTCTTCGCCCTCTTAAAGCTGCCCTACCTTAATTCTCATGCCTGAAATTTATCACCACATCCCTATTGCTAAACCATAGTATTAAGTTTAAAAGGCCTCTGTTTCTGTATAGGGAGAACCGTTTGGTTAGGTCTGGTTAGAGGACCTTGAATCCGACATGAAGACATTAGCTGCATTCTTTCTCCTAGCTTTGTGGCCGTTGGCTGATGATGTAGTGCTGTGATAAATGTGACTTTTACCTCCACACACTGCTCAGCCAGAAGTGGCAGTTCCTTCCCTTTCCCCTTACTAGTTTTTACTGTTTTGTAATTTCCAGCACAAACTGAATGAACACAGCTACAGTTGACGTAAATGCCGTTTAATACTTAGAAGAGCAATTCACTCCATGCTTGTAAATCTGTCTTGAATCCTACTGAGTAGGTGGTGGTGGTGCCACAAAGCAGAAGCCAAAAGGTTTGATCTTAAAAGCTGGACTAGATGTTTTTGTTGTACTTTAACAACAGCAAGCTCTGGGGGTAGAAACATACAAATAGGACAGGCCATACCTGAAATTTGGCTGTCCTCATAGCAGTCAGGGTGGCCTGAGAGCTTGGAGGAAGTGGAAAAAAACAGAGCACTCAAAACTCCACTATTAAACCAGAGGTCATCACCAGTTAAAATATGTGGTTTTTGTCTTATTTTTAAATAGGAGAGATGATGGGCAGTGGGATAAGTAATGTTGCTTTGAAGACATAAAGCTTGTTCTGGTAAATGTGGTCCAAAATGAGGAATGCCTTCATCTTTTCAGGTAGAAGCAGATTTGAGGAATAGCTCATCTCGTCTATAATTGAAATATAAGATAAATACTCCTTTTGGTTGTGTGTCCTCTTTGAAAAAGAACCACCAACTGCTGTTTCTTTGATAATGTTGATTTTTAAGGAAGTGGGATCTAGGGTGCTGAAGAATGAACACTAGGGTTCAGCAAAAGAAGTGTAGTTTTATGCATGTTGAGTTCTGTTAGAGCCCATGGTGAGTATTTGATGTGAAAACCTTGCTTTGGGGATTCCCCCCCCCCCCCCGTTTCAGTTTAGTATATCTTTATTTTGAACACAAATGCATGTTCTTTTTAACCTCTACTCTTTGAAATGATTGTAGAACTTTTTTTTAATGGAGGGAAAAATAGCAACCTAAAAATAGGAGCTGAACAAGCTACTAAAGTTTCCTGATGAAAAAGTTTAAAAAATTTAATTGCTGCTGCTTTCCAAGTAATTGTATTCCTAGGTCCTGTATAAAAGAAACATCAGTGCTGTCCTTGTATAAATAAAATTTCCCTGCAGTACAATTAAGTATTGAGTTTTCAGAAACTGTCCCTATAAATTTTTTTTCACATATTTCCATATGCTGTCCAAACATGGGAGATTGTATATTCCAGGTAAAATATTTTTGTATATATAAAAATAAAGGTTTAATATTGCAAACGTGCAGTGTTTCATTTATAGGTAGATCTAAGGTTTAGAGATGATAATACAGAGGATATCAGATTAGCTTTGGTAATTTCTTTTAAATGGTAATAATCTTTGTAAAAAGCCTGTAGTAATTGTTTTTCTCACCAAAATAAATATATAAATTTTTCACCTGCTTCTTTTAACAAGGAAACCCTAACTGTTGTTTCCTCTATCCCAGCCCAAGTGATTTGGTGGCTTTCAAAGGTGATGTACTCGAAGAAAATTGCAGAGACAGGGAAGACTAAAATATAGGATCAAGAAAAGGCCTCTGTGCTTAGATAGCATGAGATGCTAGGACCAGCCCAGCAAGGGAAGCCCTGATGGGAAAGACAACGCCTGCTGGGGCACACAGCTCACCCCTGAGGCCTGCGGTGGAAAAGGGAGGTGGACCTGCCAGGCTGGCCGAGAGGTAGACGCATGACGGTGGGTGAGTGCAGGAAGCCTGCTTCCAGAAAAGGTACTTTGCAACTCTCTCTCAAGTAAGTTTATGGGCTTCCCTACCTTGTACTTCAGAAACTGCCAGTCCAGTGTACTTCTCATTTATCATTCATTCTTTCATCTTAAATTGCCAGTATTCTATCACTGCAGTAAAAAATTACCACAAATTTAGCAGTTTAAAACACAAACTTAGCTCTGTAGGATGGAACTCCAGCACAAGTCTCACCAAACTAAAATCGAGACATTTCCCAGGGCCTGCCCTGGCTCTCACTGCTGGAGAGAGAATCTGCTTCCAGGCTCCTGCAGGTGGTTGGCAGACTTCAGTTCCGTGGTGTTGTAGAACGGAGGTCCCCTCTTCCTTCCTGGCTGTCAGGTGGACTGCACTCTTGTTCTTGCTCAGACCTTCTCTGTCTCAGAGCCAGCAACCGCACCGATTCTTCTTATGCCACATCTTCCCTGCATTTTCTTTGGCCAGGTCTCTCTCTGGCTCTTCTGTCTTCTTTCTTTTAAGGGCCCATAATCCTGGATAGTATGTCATTTCAAAGTCTGTAACCTGGAAAACACCTGTGAAGTCCCTTTTTGGCATGTAAGGTAACATGTTCACAGATTCCAGGGATTATTACGAGCCCTCTGTGGGATGTTTCCAGGGCCGCACCACACTAGTGAACGTGTTTCTTTCTGCATCCGCTTATGAAAGAGAAGTGGTCATGGAAACATCTGAGTGAAGGTAGCTGGCCTCTTCAGAAATATTACTCTATTTTCTATCTGTTTTCTAGGTGATCTGGTCTACTAGGACTTGTTTCCAAATGTAACTATTTTTAAAAGTATAGTTTTTGATCTCAAGCAGTAAATAAAGGTACATTTACAGTTAATAATTACACGTAGCGATAAAGATACGTTAGTTAGAAGGGCCTTTTGGAGGCCCAGCAGTACTTTGCCCCCCACAATCCAGTGGGGTTGGCTAAGGAATGGCCGTAACTGGGGGTGGCAGGGTGGCTAGGAATACCCCTAGCAGTACAGGCACATGCTGGGATGGCATCTTTCTGCCTGAAATCCAGTCTTTAGTTTTTGTTGGTCTTTAGTGGTGTTGGTTGGTTCATTTTAATTTAGAGGCTCATGCATACAAAATTCTAACAAAAATAGAGAGTAACCTCCCTCCCCCCCCCCCCAAAGGAGCCGCTGTAAGGTTTCTTGTGGACTCTTGAAGTTCCCATTGCATTGTGATATATGTGTACCTATTTTTTATACAAGTGGATTCTTTTTACACAATCTGTCCTCAGTTGGTTGTTCATAAAACTTTATTTCAGAAAGACAGAAAGGCATGTATAGTGCCACAGTTGTAGCATAACTATTTCCATTTCTGCAGCTTCCTTTCTAGTTTGCTATAAAGTGCTTTTTATGTTGTTGCCACATAACGTATCATTTTTTTTTCCATGCGTCCTAAGGTTTAGTCTCATTTTTGAGGTGATGAAAGGATTATTTGCTTCATTTCTTCCATGTTAACATTCAAGTAGATGATGAGGTAAAAAAAAAAAATATATATATATATATATATATATATATAAAACACGTTTCTCTTCAACACCTGTGACTACTCACCCTCCCTGCTCCTGAAGTCAGACCTCTGGCTGGAGGTCCTAGCTACATAAGTGATTTCAGGCCCCCCATGGATATTAGCAATGGAATCACGGCTACTTTCATAGAAGAATGTCAAGACAGAATTAAAGTTAAAATATACACCATTCAAAGTTTTCCTTTCATAAAATACGTAGTATTTTACAAATTAAACAGAATGCATAGGAAATCAGTATTATTCTAGAATTGGTACATTCATGAAAGCATGACAGAAATGCATATAGCTAGACCCCTAAAGAAGGGTGTCCTGCTATTAGAGGAGTATGTATACTGTAGGGGCATTTACAATTTTTCCAGTCAGCACATCTAAACCAGTCTCTATGAAGAGAAATTTTGGATCACAGTGTCAGACTCCTCTGTCTTTGTGTACCAGAAAGTGATAGATGGACCCATTTTTCTGTAGTAGAGGGTTCTGACTGTACACTAGCTTAGAATTCTCCACCCTCCTTCTCAGCTCTTTGGGTACTGGAGTCTATCTTAGACATTGGGCCTCTTATGAAAAACAGCTTACCTGGTAGCTAAGCTCAGTAGTATCTTAACAATGCTGAAAAATACCTAGCTTTGATGGTTCGGTACTTGTAATTCACATATGATGTTATTAATGTGCTCTGCCTAAAGCACAAAGTCCATTCAGGCTTATATAAAGAATCAGTGGGAAAATGTTGGGGTCCTTCTGAGTGACAACTTTTACGGATGACTGCAGTCTCTCCAGGTTCATGTCGGCTGTGGCAAATAAACGCTGCACGATGCCAAACGTTTCTAGATCCTTCAGAGGAGCCAAGGCTGGGTTTTCAAGGTCAGATACTCCATCATCCGAGAGAGCACAGAGCTGAAATGACATATTTAAACAAATTCACTTAAAAGTATTATAGAAAACCCACAGAGAAAAAAAAAGTTTTTTAAATTCCCCAATAGGAGTACCCCTAGAATGTAACAAGACCTGTGTGACCTTATGCCCAACTCGGTCTGAACTCTATAACTTTCCCATACAACACACAGTATGTATGGTTTATTTTAATGATATTAGAATTTCCTGTATAGCTGCTCTTCTCCTCAGAGGGTTAGGAACCACAGTTTAGTTACACTTACTGTCTCAAGAACCTTTGCTTCTTCCTGGGATACTCTTCCTCCAGAGTTCCTCGTAGACCTTTTCTTCTCATGATAAACTGAAATGCCATGTCAGAACAGCCTTTCCTAATCTCCCCTCCACCCCCCTATCCCAGTGACTATTACTCTACTGTCTTTCTGAATATGCACTATTCAGTCTGCTTTCTAAAACCTGAGCTTTTTAGGAGACCTGGTCTGTCATAGGTCCTCAGAGAGGTCACTTCAACTGCTGCTGTAAGTGCAAGTTCTCAGAACATCTGAAATTTTTAATCTTCGGTAATTAAAACAGATTTGATTTTTAGGCAGGCATTCAGAACCAGATCAAATTAATGTAGAGAGTAAAATTTAAAATAAAACAATGAAGTATGTGTGAATTTTAACTGGAAATATTTTGGATTCCCTTCAGATTCAGAAATGTCCTAAGCAATGATAACCTTATGAAACCTTGCCCCAGTGGCCAAAGGGAAGCACTCATTTGATTATAAAAGTAATTGGGTGTCTGTTATCAAAGTCAGCCTTACAAATCTATGCTGTGTAAATTCACCAAATACCACTCACATAGTGTTATTACCACAGGCTTAACATCAGCTTTAGGCCAAGGCCATAAACTATCAATTTGACTTTAGAGAATGGATTGGGCCTGCTCTTTGAGCACAAGCACCACATCCCAGCGGTTTAAGAATAAGCTCCACCGGCGTGGCCTCAAGACTGCCTGCGAGGCTCTGTGTCTGGGATCTAATGGACAAGTGCTGAGCAGCACCCAGCTTCCTCCTCTGAATAGCTGCCAGCCCCATGTGCCCAGAGACCCTTCTAGGTATAAAAGATTACAGTCACCCAAAGGTGCTGGGGTGAAATTAACAGTCACTATTGATACTCTAACTCACTTCTTGCCAGTTTGACAAACGCGTTAGTATATTTGATGCTGTTCTTCCAAAAGCCCTTCTGAAAGTCAAAGTTACTCTGGCCCCCAGATAAGACAGGAAGGCAGGTAGATTTTTGTACCTTGTTCTAAGTAAATCCCTGTAAGAAACACAATACCCAAATTTCTTCAGGAGCCTCATTGTCGTAAGAGTTGCTGCAGTATTTAGGGCAGATTATGTGAAGATACCCAGGAAATTCTTCAAAAGAAAAATTCTTTGAGCAGCCCCCAAAAAGCACACAAATGACTCTGTGGGCTTTTGTGCCACTGTAGAATACAAGCCATTCTAGAGCCCCAAATGTGGCTACCTTTAGACCAACAACGCAGAACTTGGATGCAACAAAGATCAGATCTAACTCTGACTGCAAGGAAAATGACAATGAAGCATAAGTTTATTAGGAAAAGGGAATTAGCTGTGTGGTCTTGCAGTAACACACATACGCAATTCAGGAAGTATTTCCTGAATGCAGTAGATAGTTTGGAAATCTTGGGACCCTGGGAAATGCTAAACACTCAGTTACTGCAACAGGGAGCTGGGCTATGAAAGCAGAGTTACTGCTATGCTCATCATTGCAGATAAATAGATAATGATACTTACTGTTTCCATAACTAAACTACATCACCAGTATTTACCCTTAGCTCGTCCCAGAACAAACATGCTGGCATGTTTTCGAGTAGTTCAGCTTTTGTGGTCACAGTACAAGAACCCAGCATTCCTCTTCCAGTGGGCAGAAACTGCTTTCAGTTGTGAATGGGCTCTAAACTGTTCAGATGTCTTTGCTATGCAGAGAAGTACCCAAGGCACTAAGCATGGTGCTCATGATTCTCTAACTAGATGGATAACAAATTTCAGGGTGGTCATCCAGGCACTTAATCTCAATACCTCCTTCCCAGATCTAGCAGCAGTGCTCTGAGCTTTGGACTTTTTAGCCTATGTATACGTAGCGTGTTCGTTTTGACTCTTTGTAACTAACCAGACCTTAAAATAATCCAGCCAGGTATGATCTGCTACTCTGCCCCAGGCTGAGCAACACATGCCCCATTCGATGGTTCCTTCTATTAATGACCCAATTTGTAACTTAAAAAGGAAAGGCTTAATCTTGACTCTCCAGGGCTAGGCTCATCATTACCTAACTCTTGTTCTTGCCATGACATTCCCTGAGGGCACAAAGCTACTGATCTGAGACCAGTCTCTTCTTGAATACCTTCCTGATGAATTTGATGCAGCGCTATAGCAAACTGGTGTAACTATAGCCCTGCCGTTACAAATAACATGGTGTCAGGTTCCTTCCCTGCAATGTTGCAACCCAACCTTGACCAAAATTCTCCAAACAATGGGAAAAACTTGAGATTTGGAATCTAATGGCAAAGTTGGAGTCCTAGCCTACTAGCAAATTCTTTGTACAAATCCTTTTCCTTTTGATCTCAGTTTCCTGTAGGGTGTGTGCTGTGATGTGGATCGTGTGTAAACAAACAAAACAAAGTGGGGTTAGTAATAACACCTGTTTAACCTATTTTGAAGGGCTGCAGAATCCTAAAGGTGTTTTATCAGTTGTTGGGTACCCATCCCCAGGTCCCATGTGAGAGGTTCCTTACCAAGTAACACAGTGTAGGAATAATCTGGAGTTTACAGCAAGCACCCAGCAGAGCCACTGCATTATCTGGCATTTCTGTAGGAGACAAACATCAGTCACTGTCCAAAAAAAACAAAAAAACAATGGGAACAGGCCAGCCCCTGTATTGTACCTAATTTATACTTTAGTGCTCTCCCATCAGCCAGGCAGAGGACATGCTCAGTCTCAGTAATTACTGAAAAGAATGAATGAATGGTGCTGAACAAGCAGCAAAGGTCTTTTAGATGGGAATGAGGTAGCCAGCTCTGTGTTCACTAGAGGATAGTCCTTGACATTCAGTTTGCCAGTCAAGAAGAACTGTACAGACTCAAGGAAAAGCAAATTATATAGAAAAGTAAAACCTACCTTTTCACAAAGATGGTAACAAAGGTGAAGAACGAAGCCCATGCCCCTCCCAAAGCCAAAGCAAAGGCTTTGAAGGCCCAGAAAAGGGTGCTGAAAGGCGTCCACAATTACAAGAAAATTTACGTGTCACCTACCTTCCAACAGGCCAAGACAGTGTGTCTCCAAAGCAGCCCAGATATCCTCAAAAGAGTGCCCCCCAGGAGAAACAAGCTTGACCACTATGCCATCATCAAGTTCCCCCTGATTCCTTGAGTCAGCCAAGAGGGAGACAGAAGAGAGTAACATACTTGTGTTCATTATGGAAGTCAAAACCAATAAGCACCAGATAAAACAGGCTGTGAAGCAGTTCTATGACCTTGATGTGGCCAAAGTCAACACCTTAATCAGGTCCAATGGAGAGAAGGCAGCATATGTTCAACTGGCTCCTGACTATGATGCTTTGAATGTTGTCACTGAAATTGGGGTCATCTAAACTGAATCCAGCTGGCTAAATCTAAACTTTTTCACCAAAAAAAAAAAAAAAAAAAGATTTGGTGACAAGTGCTGTGTTTGAGTTCTGCTACAGATTTGGGGTATGACTTTGGGTATACCTCTCTGAGCATGTTTCCTCATTTGACCAACCATAGTTTTGTTTCTGCATATGTCAGAGAACCAAGTAAACTATGAAGGGTTCCTTCCACTCAAGTCACTAGTCATTTTGGGGAGAAAAATGCAATATGGTTGGATGAAAGGGTGGCACTGCAGAGCCCCCCGCCCACACTAGCTTGACACAAGGGGCACCACTGGTAGCACAAGTTGGTGCAGGGCTGCGATAAGGCTGGGGGCTACCCTGGAAGGGCCCTGCCATGTCCCAAGAAAAGGAAATCTACATCAGTGTTACTCAAAGTGGATTTTAAATACCAACCAGGATAAAACAGACACAGTTCTAAGAGAGTCCAATCCCTCAGGATATAACCTTTGAACTGAAAAGGCAAAAGAGAGAAATGAATCACCTGCTGCATCATCTGGCCTAGGGACCAGTCACAAACTCCCTCCACTTCCTGCATTCAGTAGCAGCCTTATTTGTAAATAGCAACATGTCACCAAGGCTTTGACCCAGTGGAGTAACAATGAAACAGCCCATTTCTAAGACAGGAAGGCTGCTAAGAGGATAAGGCAGTTCTCCCTCTTGAGAAACCCCTAAAATTGCATTTTAAAAGTATGTGCACATTTGCACACAGTGAGGATCCATAGTCCATGAATTATCAAGCAGGCCCTTATCCCAAATCAGAAAGATGAAACTGGTAAGTATATGACAACTGGTGGAAAGATCAAAGGACCAGGAAGGGCAGTGACAAAGTCGCCTGGAACACGATCAAGTCCTGGCTGAGCCGCTGTCACACATCATCTCCCCTGTTCATGCTTCCATTCCCTCACTTTTCGGGTGAGTCCAATTTAGTCATCCACTCCCCCTTGTTCTTGGAAATAGTTTAGTTCCAGCTTAGGTGGATAGTCATTCACTATTTTGAGCATGGTGCTAGGGAGAGAAGGTGGAAGTAACAGCATCTACTTTGCAAAGCATACCAACTAATTTTACTACATCTGCAGGTGCAGATCATCATTTTCTCCTATCTCAGCACCTAGCAGTGCCTAAGACACAGAAGGGGCGTCTTCAATATTTGAGTTGAAATTATTTTGATTGCTCTTCCATATTCTGACTCTCTTTACAAATGAGACCTGAGGGATTCATACTTAAGGTCACAAAGTGGTTGAGAAAGCATTCCAGACACAGGAGAGATGCTGGGACTGAAGGGCTTTAAACAAGTTAAGCATGAAGGGGCTGGTTCAAGGCAGCAATGTAGGAAGGTCCTGAATTCACCCTTTCCTGTGGATTCTCCAAATCTCCAGCTACATATGGAACAATATCCTCTGGGGGAAAAAAGCCACAACCACCTGAGCAGCTCCTATGCATCTGGCAAGCAAGGAAAAACTCACATTGAAGCAGGTAAGAAAGTCTGAGCCACAAACTCACCATAAACTCCACCTTTGGCACAGTGACCCACAACTGGAAGAGAACTCAAAAGCTTCTCTCTGAAGAGCAAATAGTTTGAACACTACCTTTTTAAGATATGCACTAGAGGGACCAGTTCCCTACACCTCTAGCTTTGAAAGCCAATGGGGCACATGTCCATGAAACCCACAAGGCTATCGCAGACTGAGAAATGGTTCATTAAAGTCTCACACATGACTACCTACATGGAGGCTGCCCTTGGACAAGTGTCCAGACTTTCTGTGAAAGAGGCTTATTTGTTATCTTAAAGCAGCAATCTGGCTCAGTAGGTTAAGCATCCGACTTCCGCTCAGATCATGATCTTGCAGTTCATGGGTTTGAGCCCCACATCCAGGCTCAGAAACTGGAGCCTGCCTGCTTCAGCTTCTGTGTTTCCCTGTCTCTCTGCCGCTCCCTGCTTGCACTGTCTTCTCTCTCAAAAATACACAAACATTAAAAAAAGAAAAAAAGCAGCAATCTAATGGGCAGATACCTCAAACCTTGCTGGAGTACACTGTAAGAATATCAGCCAGTGCTTACCATCTTTGCATTCTTCCTCTGCCACCCTCCAGAGCACTATCTCCTGGAGGGGAGCCATTGTACATACAGGTATGATGCTCTAGTTTTTATGGCTGCCAGCCAGAGAATACCTCCTGATCACCTGGTTCTGGTGGCGAGCAGGCTTGAGATCATGGGCCCCCTGGGACTGTAACAAATGGAAAGAGTTCTCAGCTTACTACTACCCCCAGTTTCCCCATGACAGGGTTACTTGCAGAAGGAGGGGAAGATGGTGGCTGAGTAGGAGGAATCTAGGTTTGCCTCATCCTACAAATACAATAGATAACTATCATATCATCCTGAAGATCCCAGAAATCTATCTGAAGACTGAAGAATAAGCTCCATAACTACAGGTAAAGAGGCCACATCAAAGAAGGCAGAGAATGTGGCTTAGGAGAGAAATGGATCGTAGCGACTGCAGTGGGGTGGGAGGAGGGTGCACATGGGAGCACACAAGAAAATGAATCCCCACAGCAATTGGCTTGGAAAGCAAAAAGACACTTATTTCCTGAGTTCTTGCAATCAGTGGTGCTGTGAAAGCCCAGATTTTTTAAGCCCTTTTCTTCAAGAGCAGCCCCAAATAGCCCAGACACATACAGCATAGAAATAGTGATCTGAAGAGTGCCTGGGGACATACATGGGGGAGGTTAGTTGCTCATCTCAGAGCATGTTCTAGAGAGACAGTGTTCATGGAGAGACCCCTCTGGGAACATAAGAACTGGCAAGTGCCATCTTCCTCCCCAGCCTATTAGCATAAAAGCAGAGCCACCTGTAGTAACCAGCACAAGGGGTGCCTGGGTGGCCCAGTCAATTGAGCATCTGACTTCAGCTCAGGTCATGATCTTGTGATTCATAAGTTCAAGCCCCACCCTGGGCTCTGTGCTGACAGCTCAAAGCCTGGAGGCTGCTTTGGATTCTGTGTCTCCCTTTCTTTCTGCCCCTCCCCTGCTTGCATTCTGTCTGTCTCTCAAAAATAAAACATTAAAAAAATTAAGTGTAGTAACCAGTGCAATGCCAACACCTTCTACTTAACTTCACCTATACCCAGCCTCATTCTCTGCAAGAACCACCCTTTCCAGTCATGCTTGCCTCATTCGCAGCACAGTAGGCCCCCTCCTCCAGAAGATGGCCCCAGACTCCTGCCAACACCACAGCTCCTGTCTCTCCAGTTCTGTGAGGCCTCAGTTCCAGTCACAACAGCAATAGATCTCATTAGCAAGCAGACCAGAGCACACCTTGTTAAACACACCAGCTCAGGCCAGGGAACAAATTCTGTCCACAACAGGCAGAGGAGCCTCTGCAGACTAGCCTGAAGGATAAAGTAGCCAGGAAACCTTAGAGACAGTCCTGGAAGCACCAGGCCTTGGGGAACAGGGGCCATTACTCTGCAGAGCACTACAGGAACTCTTCTTCATAAACCCTTTACCCTTCAGAACAGGAGACATAGATTTCCTAACATAGACAGGCACAGAGACTTAGACAAAATGAGAAGATATTTTGTCCCAAATGAAAAGACAAATCTGCCTCAGAAGTTCTAAGAAAAGCAGATACAGTACCATGCCTGGTAAAGAATTTAAAGCTGTGATGATAAGGATTCTCATAGGACTTGAGAAAAGAGTGGAGGACACCAGTGAGACTACTAACACAGAGATAAGGAATAACAGCAGAGATAAAGGGCTCAATAAACAAAATGAGAAACACCTTTGATGTAGTATCAGGATGGAAAAAAATAGGAATCAACTAATGATGGAAAAGACAGAGTAATGGAAAAAAGTCAAGCTGAACAAAAGAAAGAAAAAATAATTATGCCAAACAAGAATAGACTTAAGAAACTCAGTGACTCTATCTAATGTAATGACATTCACATTATAGGAGTTCCAAAAAAAAAAAGAGAGAGAAACGGGGCCAGAGAATTTATTGAAAGAAATAATAGCTGAAAACTACCCTAATCCAGGGAAGGAAACAGATATCCAGATTCAGGAGGCACAGAGAACCCCCAACTAAATCAACACACCAAGACATTGTAATTAAAATGGCAAAATATAGTGATAGTGAAAAAATAATAAAAGCAAGACAAGGGCACCTGACTCAGTCACTTAAGCATCCAACTCTTGATTTCAGCTCAAGTCATGATCTGAGGATTGTGAGATCGAGCCCAGTGTTGGACTCTGCACTGGACATGGGGTCCATTTAAGATTCTCTCTCACCCTCTGCCCTTCCCCCACTTGTGTGCTCACACTCTCTCAAATAGGTAAATAAAAATTTAAAAATAAAACATCAAGACAAGCCAGTTACATACAAATGAAAACCCCATAAGGCCATAAGTGGATTTTTCAGCAGAAACTTTTCCAAGCCAGAAGGGAGTGGCATGATACATTCAAAGTGCTGAATGGAAAAAATCAGTGTGTGGGTTCAAGCCCCATGTCAGGCTCTGTGCTAACAACTCAGAGCCTGGAGCCAACTTCAGATTCTGTGTCTCCCTCTCTCTCTGCCTCTCCCCTGTTCATTCTCTGTCTCTCTCTCTCAAAAACAATAAAAACAATTTTTATATATAAGAAAAGAACCATATGATCATTTTAACACTGAAAAAGCACTGACAAAGTACAACATCTATTCATCATAATAACCCTCAACAAAGTAGGTTTAGAGGGAACATATCTCAACATAATAAAGGCCATTTATGAAAAACCCACAGCTAACATCATCCTCAATGGGGACAAACTGAGAGTATTTCTCCTAAGGTCAGGAACAAGATAAGGATATCTACTCTCACCACTGTTATTCAACATATAGCACTAAAAGCCCTAGCCACAGCAATCAGTCAACAACAACAAAAATTCAAATTGGTGAGGAAAGTCAAACTCTCACTCTTTGCAGAAGACATGATACTATGTATAGAAAACTCAAAAAACTAGAACTGAAAGGCCACCTGGGTGGCTTAGTCAGTTGAGCATCCGACTTCAGCTCACGTTATGATCTCACAGCTAATTAGTTCAAGCCCCATATCGAGCTCTGTGCTAATAGCTCGGAGCCTGGAGCCTGTTTCAGATTCTATGTCCCCCTCTCTCTCTGCCTTGGTCTCTCTCTCTCTCTCTCAATAAATATTTTAAAAAATTAAACTAGAACTGATAATGCAGTAAAATGCAAGATACAAAATTGTACAGAAATCTGTTGCATTTCTATACACCAATAATGCAGCAGAAAGAGAAATTAAGAAAGCAACCCCATTTACTATTGCACCAAAAATAAGATACCTAGCAACAAACCTAAACAAATGATGAATTGTATTCTAAAAACTATTAGACAGTGATGAAAGAAACTGAGGACAATATAAAGAAATGAAAAGACATCCCATGCTTATGAATTGGAAGAAAAAATATTGTTAAGATGTCTATACTACCCAAAACAATCCCTATCAAAATCCCAACAGCATTTTTTAAAGAACTAGAACAAACAATCCTAATATTTTTATGGAACCACAAAAGACTCCAAATAGCCAAGGTAATCTTGAAAAAAAAAAAGCAAAGCTGGAGGCATCACAGTTCTGGACTTAAAAGTTATAGTAGTCAAAACAGGACAGTCCTGGCACCAAAACAGACACATGTATCAATGAACCAGAAGAGAAAACCCTGACATAAGCCCACAATTATATGGTCAATTATTCTTCAACAAAGCAGAAAAGAATATCCAATGGTAAAAAGACAATCTCTTCAATAAATGGTGCTGGAAAAACTGGACAGCAACATGCAAAAGAAAGAAACTGGACCACTTTCTTACACAAAAATAAACTCAAAATGGATTCAAGAGCTAAATGTAATACCTGAATCCATTAAAAAAAAAAAAAAAAGTAGCTAGAACAGGTAGTAACTTCTTTGACATTGGCCATACCAACTTTTTCTAGATATGTCTCCTGAGGCAAGGAAACAAGCAAACTGTTGTGACTAGGTCAAAATAAAAAGCTCCTGCACAGTGAAGGAAACAAGAAAACTAAAAGGGAACCAACTTAACGAAGAAGGTATTTTCAATGACATATCTGGTAAAGGGTTAGTATCCAAAATTTATAAAGAATTTCTTTAACTTGGGGCTCCTGGGTGGCTCAGTTAAGTGACTGACTCTTGATTTCGGGTCAGGTCATGATCTCACAGTTCTTGTTCAAGATCCTGCATCAGGCTCTGCACTGACAGTAGAGAGCCTGCTTGGGATTCTCTCTCTCCCTCTATTTCCTCTCTGCTTGTGTGTGCTCACTTGTGCTCTCTCAATAAATAAATTAACTTTGAAAAAAAGAACTTATTAACTCAGTACTCAAAAAACCACAAATAATCCAGTTAAAAAATGGGCAGAAAAAAGGGACATTTCTCCAAAGAAGAAATACAGATGCCAATAGACACATGAAAAGATGCTGAACACCACTCATCAGCAGGGAAATGAAAATCAAAACTACAATAAGATCTCACCTCACACCTGTCAAAATAGCTAAAATCAACAACAGGTGTTGGCAAGGATGTGGAGAGAAACAAACCCTCTTGCACTGTTGGTGGGAATACCACCTGGAGCAGCCACTGTAGGAAAAAGTATAGAGGTTACCCAAAAGGTTAAAAATAGAACTACCTTCCAATCCAGGAATTGCACTAAAATATGCACTGGGTGTGTGTGTGTGTGTGTGTGTGTGTGTGTGTGTGTGTGTGTGTGTTACACACACACACACTGTGGAATATTATTCAGCCATTAAGAAGGAAGGAAAGAAGGAATCTTGTCATTTGTGACAGCATGGATGGACCCTGAGAACATTATGCTAAGTCAGAGAACAACAAATTCATATATGATCTCATATACATATATAAAGTTCATAGATACAGAGAACAGTGAGTTTCCAGAAGCAGAGAGTTGGGAGGTGGAAATGGAGGAGTATGGTTACCAGCTATTAAAAAAATAAGTCACAAGGATGTAATATATAGCATGATATCTAAGTTAACAATGCAGTATTGTATATTTGAAAGTTGCTGAGTGTGTTAAAAATTCTAAGAAAAACTATTTGTAAAAATAAAAATTGTAACGATGTATGGTGATGGATATTAACTAGACATACTATTGTGATCATTTTGCAATGTATACAAACGTAGAATCATGTTGTACACCTGAAGTTAATATGATGTTCTACATCCATTTTATCTCAGTTTTTTTAAAGTTAAGCACCATAAAGCCAACAGCTGGTGTTATTATTTCTAAAACTGCAGATAGGACTCAAGGAGAGGCCATTTTCAGTTCCAGCACTTTCCCCAGGTTCTAAGGAGAGAAGACTGTTTTCATAAGAGGGAAAGATCAACTCAGAAGGGCTGAGGATTAGCAAGAGAACTAATGGAAGAGCTTTACAATGAAAGAGCTGATCTGACCTCTGCAGTGACTGACATGTAAATGAGGTATCAATTCAGAGAGATGCAAAAGAGCATTGTTGGTTCAAAAATTGACTAGATATTTTCAGCTGCACTTAAAGATTTCATTACCCCTAAGCATCCAGCTCAGAAACAGCAAGTAAGCCTCAGGTTGTATGTCAGCTCCGAGTGGGTGCCTATGTGCAAGGTTGCAGAGAACTTGAAACTGTCCAGGTTTCAAGGAGCAGGGGACTATGATGCATTCACCAGTTCAGCCACACACTGCATATTTCACATCACTGAACTAGGCTATTGATAGAAATATTTCAATAAGTAGTAGGGCATATGAAAAAAATGCCATTCACAAACTGGAAAATTCTGGCCAGTAGATTAGTCCCTAATAGAATGACTATATTGAAAGACTCGAGTAGAGCTAGGAAGAGCCATCCTCTCTGATTAATTTTTTAAAAACTAATAATCTCCTTGGCCTCTGTTTGTCTGTGGGGTGCTGGGGAGTAGCCATGAATCTATCAGGAACTCAACACCTCAACTAATATCATCATGAAGGGAAATTGTGGGGACCGAGATCCCGGGTGGCTGTGCCAGGTCTTGCCTTTCCAAGAAGGAACTAGAAAAGAACCCCAGCCTCCTCACACAGGACGACTACCTTCCAATACTGGAGTCCCTCTGGCATGGTGAATCCTGGATGGGAGTGATAGAGGAGTGGCAGGGTGGGGTCCACTGCCAGATAACCGCTACACTGCAGTGCCCCAGGAGAGCCACCCCAGGACCAGTATGGAAGCAGTGTTGCTGCCGGGCCCAGCATCCTAGTGCATCGGGATACTCTCCACAGTCTCCGTGCCCAAATGTACACAAGGTGGCCAATAAGTCTACAACAAGGATCAGAAGTACCAAAACATTAGAGGAAAAAGCAGTAGGCAGATGGAAGCCACTGCCATGCAGCAGTGTCAGGGCTCAAGTGTGAATCACAGGCTGTGTTTGAGGAGATGCCTTCCTGTGCTGCTGAGGGCATGTGTGCGCAGACAGCCCTCCTTGGAAGAGTAAAGAGAGTAGACTTTGGGGATGAGCACTGAGTGTTATGTGGAAACTAATTTGACAATAAACTATTTGTAAAAAAAAAAAAAAAAGAGTAGAGGAAGCTGGCATCACACGCAAGTCTATGACTTTTCATGGCAATGATATGTGTCCTCAGCCTTCTACTTACCCTCCCTGTACTGCTGAAAGGGAGAGAATCATATTTACCAAATCTTCCACAATAGTAAGCAAAGCGATTTCAAAGCCACAACAGTACTTCTTTCTCTTTTTCCATACCTGCTAGTGCACTGACCAAGAAGTAGACTGTAGAAAAGAGCTTCTGGTTGCTGACTGCATCCTCTGCACCTGGACACTTGCCCTGCACTCTGTACCCCGCCAGACACAGGAAAGCCATGAGGTCCTGCTGGTGTGGGGGCTTAAGCTCCCCCAATATTGCCATTGGAGACAATAGGCCACTGACCACGTCCTCACACTGCAGGAGGAAGAGAAAAGAGATGGATGTAGTAAAGCCAGAGCTGGGCCTCTACCCCATGACACGCAACCCCTTGCCCTTCCACCGTCTCTCCAGTAAAGCAAAAGCCTGCATTCTTTTCTGTTTTTAAATTAGTAATCTTCCAGGTTACTAATAACCTTCTTCATAAGAAGAGAATAAACAGCCTTGCCCAGGTACTATTCTTTCACAGCAAGGGTAAGATAGATGCAGGAACTATGACTAAAACCTTCCAGGACAGGGCAGGGTCTGTCAGGTTGTATCAGAGATCAGGAACAAGTGAGTACATGCAGAACGGAGGAGGAGAACATTAAAAAAAAGAAAAAGAAAACGTTATCCCATCATGATTATCCAGCTTTAAACTTGGCACAGCAGCCCCCAGCCACATTCCCAGCTAGACCCAGAGCAGCTTCATTCATGAGCACTGGGCCTGCTGGCTGCTGGGAGGCAGATGGCCCTGCCAGTGAGGAGTGAGCTCTCCTCCATCATCACCTCCACATCAGATGCAGTCATAGAAGACCCCACTGGCCCCCACTACCTGGGCAGCTTGCTTCTCCTGCACTTGCACGGCACCTGATGTTCTTTCCAGAGTATACTACTGGTCTGATATCTCCCTCTTGGAAGGAGCTATTCTAGGAAGTATACATCAGGGCTTTTGGAAACATGTGTGTTCTCCCTGGAGCTAGCATACCCTCTGAGCTGTGTATCATCCAGAACACCCAGATGTCTTGTACTGTTGGACTATTTCTACAAATGTAGGGGCCCCACTGGTAGCCAAGCTCTTTTGGTACAGTCCAATTTCAAGAGGGGAAAATAACATGAATGCTCTCCTGGAAACCATGAAACCATTGAATCAGAAAATCAGAGTCCAAAATCTCTGAATAATAGAAAAAAAACCCAAACTCTTATCATATGAATAATCTGCTGTAGCCCCCTTAAAGAAGGAGAGTACAAAGTCTGGCAGACTGCCAGGTGGTGTGTCCCTCACCATTTGTACAATAGGTAAGGAACTCAACCTCCCCAGAAAGTCCTGCTGCTGCAAAACAAAACGAAACAAGCAAAAAAATACAAAGTCCTGCTTTTCAATCTATTCTGAGTAGAGTAAGTTGACTTACTCTATTAAGTTGACTTATTGGATTCTACCACACAGCCCCCTTATAGTGGGGCTGAACAGAGGTCCCCAAAATATATGTTGACCTTATTTGGAATTAGCATCTTTGCAGGTATAATTAAAATAAAAATCTCGAGATGCTTGTAGGCTGGAATGGGCCTAATATCCAATGGTAAGTGTCCTTGAAGAGACAGAAAAGGAGAAGACATCAACACAGAAGACAGGGGCATAGGAAGACAGAGTAGAGACTGGAGCAGTGTGGCCACAAGCAAAGGAGCATCAGGAGCCACAGGAAGCTGGAAGAGGCAAGGAAGCATCTACCCCTAGAGCCTGGGGGAAGCATGGCCCTGCTGACTTCTCAGCTACAGACGTCTGGCCTCCAGAACTCTAAGAGACTTTGTAGTAATTTACTGAGACAGCCCAAGAGAACCAATCTACACTTTGATTCTTGACATCAGCTGCCTTTCTGCAATTAGAAAACTAAGGACCTGGGAGTAAGAAAAAAAAGAAACTTTAAGGTTTAAAGGAAGTGGGGAAATTTTAAATGCAATTTTATCTCAGCATCCCAACTCACAGCCTCATCCCAAGAGGTCTAGGCTGTCTACATCTCCCAAAAACCTGGGTAGAAACACTTCTTCGAGAGGTCTCTGGTCTTACCACTTGTTCCAGGACCACAAGAAATTCTTCATCAAACAGGACCGCCTGGAGAATGTTGCTAAGTGCTGTCTGTTGCTGTTCCGGCAGCTCCACAAATGGATGGAAATTCCTCTCCAAGAGCAAAGTCGCTGTGAAAACAGCAGAGCACACCCAGCATCATGACTGTTGTGCGTGTCTTAGAACAAGGGACAGCAGCCTTTGCTTTTTATAGTAATTGTCCTCAGTTCTTGGAAAGACACGTGCAGCAACATAGGCAGTCATGGAACTAGGAAGCAAAGGACATCAAGTTAGATACCGCCCTCCCTGCATGGTTTTCAGTAACAACTTACACTACTGCAAGAAGAAAGAAGGGGAACAAAAAGAGAAAAAGAGGGCCACCCAGATTTGTTTCAGACTTTTTTTCTGGAAAAAACATTAAGTCTACTTTCTGGAAAAGTCTAATCAATTATTTAGACTCCTCCTTAGCATGATTTCTACAGAAGTAAGTTATCAAGGCTGCATTACTAATCATCACTCAGTACATTTACAGGGCTTTGCAGCCATGCAGATTCCAAAGTCCATTATTTTCCACGTCCTTTCTTCTAGTACCATGCATATTTTTATCCTTTAATATTTAATGCTAGCTTTTCAAAGAGTCTGCCACCCTATTTTTATGGCAAACACCAGCCATTCCATTTTTTCCCATTTATTATTCTTCACCCATCCTGGAGAACAAGCAGGTACACAGGCCCCCTGGCTGGGTTACACAACATCTTCTGCAGGATGCTTGAGGCTCTCTCCTTAAAATCTTTTCTGTATTTTTTTTAAGACATTGAAACACTTGTAGTAAACTAAGCCCAGTGGGGATTTAAAAGCAAGATTTGATAAACCAAAGCTGTTTCATATGCAGAGATGCATACTCTCTCATACATAACGTACTACCTCTGCTGATGGCAAATTTAAGCACACAGTAGTCAGACAGCTCCATAGAGAGAACAGGTCACATCAGTCACTGATCCATTCAAAAACTTCCCTATAAACACAGCTAGGTCTTTGCCAGGTCAGGCTGCACAGAAGAGCTTTCCTGGTTGGTGTAAGGTCCAAGGGCACAAAGGCCAGGCTGTCCCCCACCCTCCTCCACTTCAGGCTGACTTGAATGGCCAACTGATAGGGTAGACTGGTGGGAAAGGAAATGATAAGGAAGCTGCAGCCCATGAATGGTCTTGTCCCTTCCCTGGAGCCCAGTCTATGGCTGCAGGGCCACTCTGTTGTGTCCTAACCTACAACCATGCTTAAATGGCAGCTGGAAGTTGGACCCAACTGTCTATCTCAAGGAGGTGGAGGAGTGGCCTGCAGCCCTGCAAGATGGGAGAGCCTTATCCTAAGCATGGGCTTTCCCTAATACAAATCAAAACCACACTGAGATACCACCTCAAGCCAGTCAGAGTGGCTAAAATGAGCAAATCAGAGAACTCTAGATGCTGGCGAGGATGTGGAGAAACGGGCACCCTCCTACACTGTTGGTGGGAATGTAAGCTGGTACAGCCCTCTGGAAAACAGTGTGGAGGTTCCTCAAAAAATTAACAATAGAACTCCCCTATGACCCAGCAATAGCACTGCTAGGAATTTACCCAAGGGATACAGAAATGCTGAGGCATAGGAGCACACGTACCCCAATGTTCATAGCAGCACTCTCAACAATAGCCAAAACATGGAAAGAGCCTAAGTGTCCATCAACGGACGAACGGATCAAGAAGATGTGGTTTATCTATACGATGGAATACTACATGGCAATGAGAAAGAATGAAATCTGGCCATGGGTAGCAACATGGATGGACCTTGAGGGTGTTATGCTGAGCGAAATAAGTCAGAGAAGGACAAATATCATATGTTTGCACGTATAGGAAGATTAGGAGGAACTTAATGGAGGACCATGGGGGAGAAGAAGGGGGGAAATGGTGGGGGAAAGGGAGAGAGGAAAACCATGAGAGACTCTTGAATGATGAGAACACACTGAGGACTGATGGGTGTGGGGGAGGAGGGGGGAGATGGGCATGGAGGAGGGCACTTGTGGGGATGAGCACTGAGTGTTATATGGAAACCAACTTGACAATAGACTATTTGTAAAAATAAAAAATTTTTTAAAAAATTTAAAAAAAAAGAGTGGGCTTTCCCTGCCATTTCTTCCAGCACTGATGCTTTTGCTACAAAAGGAGAAGTATCTTCTAGTTTGGGACTCACTGAAGCCCCATAAGTGAGTCTCTTCTTATCCTCCCAGCCAGATCATTCTGAGCTGCTTCTAGCTCTTTTTACCAAGTTCTTACCCAGCTATTTGTTTTCCCTTTTCTTTGTCCATTTCCTCTTCTGCTATATACTGCACTTCCCCCGCCTCCGCCTGCCCACACCACCACAAGAAAAACCAACTTTTTAAACACAAAATGCTATGAGGAATAAAAGCAATTGCTGCAGGCAAATCACAGGTACTCCCTCCTCCTCACAAGATGCAGGGCCTCAAGCCACATGGGTAAAGGGCCCCCAAGAGAGCATTTTGCAATGCTGACGAAAGCCTTGCCTGTGTTGGCAGTGAAGGCTGGAATATAATGAAACAAATGCAAATTTTGGGATCTCTCTCTTTGCTGCTGACTAGCTACTTTCAATAGTCTGCAAGTCTTCTGTGGATACAATGAAAGAAAATGCCCAACCCCAGACTCTTTTACTCTTTTTAGTCTTCCCTCCCTTCCTCAAAACGTGGCATCAAAGACCTGAGGTTCCCTGAGATTTCACAGAGGTGGATCCTGTTGACTGGACTAGGTTTGACTTGGAAGCATTGTCCCCTCTGTTCTCAGATGCTCTCCATTAAGTCACTGAGGACTCATTGCTCCTAAAGGCCACCTCACCTCCTGAAGTACAGTGCTAAAGTAGCCTGTCAACTCACCACACCCCACCCTGCTGGCAATACCTTGTTTTAAAACACCCAGTGGCCAATCCAGAGCAGATGGTCCCGGCCCAGCATCTGGCATGTCCCCAAATGGAAACTCTTGAAAGGGCAGAGCGTCCACGAAGACAGCGTCACTTCTCTCAAGCTCAAAGCCACCATGCTTTCCTTGTAGGAGGCAGAATTCTGTCATGTGGGAGGAAAGGACAAGCCAGGCATAGGGTCAGCAGGGCCTTGTTGGCACATCTCAAACCCAGGTTTACTTAATAGGGAAGTGGGGGGTCAGGGGGACACATTCACTCTGATGTCATAAACCCACTTCCTACACATTACACTATTTAATGAAAACTCAGCCACTCCCTACCAATATAGGAGAAATGGTTGTTCTCAACATAAAGTTCTCTAGTGTGTCCTCTCTGAATGGGTAGGAAGCAATCTTTCCAACATCAGGTTTTCCTTAGCCTGATTTGAACAAACTGTTAAATAACAAAAATTCAACTGAGTAAATTTTTAAATGACACCATTTTGGGCCAGTGGTTTTCTTTTAAAAAATTTTTTTAATGTTTATTTTTTAGAGAGAGAAAGACAGAGTGTGAGCAGTGGAGGGGCAGAGAGAGAGGGAGACACCGAATCTGAAGCGGGCTCCAGGTTCTAAGCTGTCAGCATGAGCCTGACGCAGGGCTTGAACTCAAGAACTGGGAGATCATGACCTGAGCCAAAGTCAGACACTTAACCAACTGAGCCACCCAGGTGCCTCTAGTGGTGTTCTTTTTAATAAAACCAAATCATAAACAACTCACCATGTTTGAAACAAAAAAATTTAAATTTGATTAACAGATTTGATTTGATTGAACTGATATTAAAGTATTATTGACAACATATTTAAGTATATGAGTGGTATGTGGTTGCAATTTTCAAGTCTTGTCTTCTCTTCATTAATAAAATACTCAACAATTAAATTTCTGCAATTATATGAATGAATCTTTTTTTTTATATATGAATGAATCTTACAAACATGATAAGTGAAAAGACCAGGCACAAATAAATGCAATTTCTGTGAATCTATATAAAGACAAAAACTAGTCTTTTTTTTTTTTAAAGTTTATCTTCAGGTATACTGAAATATTTATAGACAGAGCAATACAATACCTAGGATTTGTTTTGAAATAATTGAGTGGAGTGGTCAAGTTATAGATGAAACGTGAATCACCCCAGTTATTAAAGCTGGTACATGGGAGTTCATAGTATTATTATCTCTACTTTTGAACATGTATAACTTTTCCATAATAAAAAGTTTTTTTAAATAATAAAATGTTTCCTTAAATACGTCCATATTTAAGAACCTAAGATAGTAGCTATTATGTAATAGTTATTATGTCCTTAATAAGCAAAAATAGCCAGTGCACTTGTGAATTAGGGTTCTTTTTATGTTTCTATTTAAAATTTTTTAATGTTTATTTTTGAGAGAGAGAGGGAGACACAGAATCCAAAACAGGCTTCAGGCTCTGAGCTATCAGAACAGAACCTGACATGGGGCTCAAACCCACAAACCATGAGATTATGACCTGAGTCAAAGTCAAGATGCTTAACCGACTGAAGCACTCAGGGCCCCTTATGCTTCTATTTAATCATTTGTGTACTTAAGCACAGGCTACAGAATAAAACTGTGGACGGCATGATGATTAGCACATAGATTTCCTTGCTTGTGGGTACTAATGACAAAGATCAAATGACTGTCTAAAGACAAATGAAACAATCCTTCATGTATGCATTCAACCGACCAACACTCACTAGGCATCTGGAGCACCCCTGGCTTGCTGTACCCTTGGCACCAGGCACTGAGGCAGCTGAATGTGAACCAGCCTTCAGGTGTTAACTTCGCTCCCCCAGGACAGCCACCATGACAGTTAACATAGGCTCAAACCCTGTCAGGAGCGGGGCAGGCCCCCCAGCTGGTAATTTAGGAGTCTATGGTACCAGCACCACTCTTGCCTGTACACACACACAGGCCCCTGGAGACACTACCAATTCTTTCTTTCTTTTTTTTTTTTTTTTTTTTTTTTTTTTTTT